AAATTAGATCATATTTGTTGATAAAATTGATAAAGTCGGATTTCTGTAAATGCTTTCTCAAACCTTAAATGTTCCATGAAATACATTTGACGAAAGGGATAATATTTACGTTGTGAGGACCTTGACCACACCTTTATTCTTTAGCTTTACGTGTTTTCGAGAATGTTTTTTACGAGATTAGTTGTGTCGGTCTCATCGTCCAATGTATAGATTTTGTTGTCAATAATCAGTTTATCAGATCTCAACACAGAGAAACTTCCATTTTCACGAGCTTCATCCATGAAGTCTTTCAATTTGGCCCTAGATTCTCTCACTTTCTTCGTGAAATCAGGATACTTCCGGTCGGGGTTGGTACCATTTTTCCAGCTCGCGAAATAAACTGTCGATATTTCGGTAAGTAAGGTGAGGTGAAGTGAAGTGGGGTTTAACATCGCGTCCAAGATTATTGCACTGATATAGCGACGTGTGTGTGTGGCTGCTTGTACTAGTCCGGACTGATGCCGATTTATAGTGCTAGCCAACTGAGATACCATGCCGCAGTTTAACATGAATACCTCACTCAGACACAGTATACTGACTCTGAGCCGACCAGTCCTTGTTTTAGCCCCTTAATGCCGAGCGCCAGACAGGGTAACAACAAGTACCATCTTTTAACGTCTTTTGGTATGATACGGTCGGGGATCGAACCCCGGACCTTCCGCTCTCCGGGCGGACGCGCTACCACTAGACCACGGAGGCGGTCTCGGTAAGTAAGGGACATTAATCGAATGAAGATGACTTGTACATGTGTAGAAATGTGTTATCGATCAATCTACGGCCGGAAATGCGCTTGTCAATAAGAGTATGATAAAAAAGTCGCCTTGGATATCGAATGTAAACAAACCGGCAAGATCGCGAGTGACGCTCCTTTTCTCTACTTACCTATAGGGGGTATATATTTTTATTTACTGACCAATATCGGATTCCTGTGGTTTCCCATAATTTTGTGTTGCCATGTTACATTTCCGAAGGCAGCTACTGGGGGAAACGGTAAATGCAAAATGGCAAGTTCCGAAATGGCACCAAACGTTAATGGACCTATCGAATTGTCCATCCAATTATTTTTTTTTATCTTCACAGTCTTATTTTGACTGAAGTATTAGTATGGCGTGTTACTATGTCAACTTCAACAAGGGTGCAGGCTAAAACGGCACCTCAGCAAAACGTCACCGATTTCTCTGGCGAAAACGGCACCGCATTTGGCGAAAACGGCTACATGGTATTTGATGTATTTACATGGTATTTGATGTATGTGATGTATTTACATTGTATTTCCTGTTTTCACAGATAAGTAAATATGTTCATATATAGAGTGTTGTGGCATGTCCATCGTCATCATCCTGTTCATGTTCATATATACAGTTTTGTGGCATGATATGCCTCTCGTCCTTGTTAATTATGTCGCCACGGACGGAACCCTTCGGGTAAGAAGTCCTCGGCTTAGTGTTTTCACAATAAGTTAACTGCGCCTCCCAATCAGAGTCGGTGAGTAAATTGAAGTAGGGGGCTAATTTCTTATTTGTTTTATTTCACAATTATTTGTGTTTGTAAGAGACGATGTGAGTTTAATTTCCATTTTTTCTCTTCAAAGCATGTTATGTTTTCTCAATAAGTTGAGTTGCGTATAAGCTAAGTTGGATTATAGTTGGAGAAAAATAAGGTGCCGTTTTCGCTTCAGTCGAGGTGCCGTTTTCGCCAATCGGTGCCGTTTTCGCTATAACCCCTTCAACAATACCTACATACATTGGTGAATTATTAGCAAGTGCTAAATTCGACTTTGCCTTTTCCGAGTTTAACATTTATTTACGTCTCGGTGAAGATCTGCGGAAGTCGAGAGAGCGAAACACTGATGTTAGGGAGAACACGTTCTGAGATGTATATGAGGAAAAACTGAACAGCAACTAATTAGATATACCTGTACCATAATTTATCAATTTGTTACCACAGAACATATATCCAGGCGTTCGAGAATATTATAGAAAACCCCATGTCACCGAAAGGTCGCAGACGTCAAATCAGCAATGTTTTTTTATATATTATCAATACTATCATTACATTATTAATAAAATGCCAAAGAAACATTTCTGAACGTCCTGTTCAGACCTCCTATCCAAATAAACACTTTGGGGTGGCTGTTACGGGAAAATAACGTAGCTGTCGGGTGTATTATGTAGGCGACAGAAATAGGCCTATGGGTGACACGTGTTGCCTAAAGGTCGCAACGTGGAGTTAGATTGAACACAGTTTAACCCTCTTGGTGCCACGGGATCATATATGGTCCCTCGCTTTTCACACCCTCTCACTGCCACGGGACCATATAAGAGCAGCAGCCCAGAGCACTTTGGTCAAACGAACAATGTACCAATATCCGAACACATTGTCTGGCAATGGGTATTGTGCAATAAGTAGAGTGCAATTGTTCATTTTATGTTGGTTTTATGTGGTACCTCCAATGTTTAACCCAGCCCAAATTTTGGGACCCTCTCTGGGGGGTATGGCGGACCTTATGCAGAGGAAAATTTGTCAGGTATGGGCCGTTTTGTACTCAGTAACATGTACCTGTTCATCTAAACTTACTTTCATCTGGTACTTTGAATGTATGCTCTAGTCAAATTTTACCAGAGTGTCCACTGGGTGCATTAAGGGTCAACATGCGGGCCTTATGCAGCAGACGATTGGTGGTGGTGGTGGTGGGGGGGGGGGGGGGGGGGGGGGGGGGGGGGGGTCCCCGGCAGACATCCATATATATGAGGTATACAGTTGAAAAAGTGATTGAACCCTATTCATTCAAAGTTAGACTGTTAAAGTTGAAGTGTCAAATCATCTTTTTGTATTTCTCTCCAGATGCGACTTTGACGGTCAGGATAGCTGACTTGGTTGATGCATGTCATCGTATCCCAATTGCGTGGATCGATGCTCATGATGTCAATCACTGGATTGTTTGGTCCAGACTCGATTGACAAAATCCAGTTCAATCTGGACGGGGCAGGTATTATGGAAGATCTCACCCTACCTGTCTTTGATATCACATATATCAATACGAGTTGATAAATGTTTAAAACTCTTAGGTTTGCCGAGGAGTTTTCAGCTTTCATTTTCGAGTGTCAATACAATTGATATCAAAAGACACGAGGGAAATAAATTTCTATCATCCAAAATCTTTCTTCCAACGTGTTAACTTTTTAAGCAGTACCCAGTGTCTTGAGTGTTAAAAGAACAGCTATCCAATTTCAGTGGCAGAGTGATTAGTGACGGCATTTGATTGTGACGTAATGGAAACCGATGCAACGGGTGGCCCAGTCGTCTAAGGCGCCGCGATTCGCTGTGCAGAGTTGCGTCCCTTGGGCACGCCAGAAACCTATGATTGTGGGTTCGATCCCCGGTTCGCCCCGATTATGTTTCTAGGTTTGTCAGCACCATACCCTTGCTCGTTGGGTTTCACCGAAGGGGTAAACGTCTAAGACCTGCATCATTTCGGGCTTTCCTCCCATATTAAGCTGACACGCCGTGATATAACTGGAATACTGTTAGAAGCGGCGTTAAACCCAACTCACTCACCCTGATAGGGGATCAACCGTCACCGAAGTATACAAATATTGAAAGAGGCGGACATATAATCTCCAATTAAGGCCCATCACTAAGTCTGAATAATTTGTTATTTATTTGTCATTTGTTTAGGTCAACCAGCGACTATATTTTATAATATAACCAGAAGGGACAACTCTCTTCCAAGATTTCTTTGGATAATTATATTATTTTCAAATATTCCCACTCAGACACACCTCCCCAGATCATGAAATCGTCGGTCTTCACTCCAGAATATCTTTTTAATTTCAGTTTACACGATACACGGCTTTTCCATTGAAGGACAGACCGGTCTCATGCTCGGAGCTGACGGTCAAAGCGTATGAACGACACAACTTGACGTTCATGCATTTTTCACCAGACCGTGTTCTTAAAATGACGTAAACACTGACGACCACTTCCACATTCCTGGGGAAATCCCTGGAATGCAAAACACGAATACATACAGAAGCTTTGTTTCGGATCATTTAGACCCTATAATCTTGAACTCAGCATTTTAGCATACATTGGGAAACGTCAGAGAGAGACTGCATGATCGTTCACGAAATTCCTCGCTACGACCCATCTTAGTGAACAAAAGAAATGCACATCCACTACTGAAGTATCGACTCGATCAGTATCTAGACTGACAGTATCAGTCCACAGCAATCTATGAATTAACCTTTGTATTTACTTGAAATGTCTTCATAATCACCGTTCAATGATCGGCCAGTTGATTAATGATGACTAACACATGTAACCGCCACAGGTTCATTAACAACAACGGAAATCTCTCTCGTTACGTTTATCCGTCGGCCATTTTGACGTGTTGTACTTGATGTAAATGTGTTACGACGCGCTCTCTTTGTGGCTGAATTACGGAGTTAGTTCATAACAGGCCATTCCCATATAATGATGATATTATTTCAATACATTTCTTTTACACTTTTTAACAGATGTTCCTGCAAAGCAAGTTGAGCATGCATACGATCATGCGATCTCTCTTTTTGGGGAACTATTTTATTCCCCGATACAGCTGTTTGTTGTATGGCTGTCAGTGTAAACATGTAGATCTAGCCCTATATATCCCTCGAGGTATAAAATAGTGATATGAACAATTATAATAATTGACTTTCACTTTGTGTGAGTTCATTTGATGATGAATCTTCATACTCCAATGAACTCACACAAAGGGAAAGTCAATTCTAAATTATTTCACTTTTACTGAACTTGACCTACTCTATGTTACAGGTTCTGCATGCAACCAGACTGAAGGTCGACCTTCTCAAACCCTTGGTGATGACGTCGTAGAAAGTATTGCTGATGTAATAAAGTATAGATGGGGAGTGAAAATGGTTATATTAATGTATGCTGTAGTGTCTTATGGCTAAATAGTCTTAGTTGTTCACCGTCCCCGTGATCGTGGGGTTTACCATCCCCGGTACCAACCCCAGTACCATCCTCGGTACCATCACTGGTACCATCACTGGTACCATCACTAGAACCATCCCCGGTACCATCCCCGGTACCATCCCCAGTACAATCACTGGAACCATCACTAGAACCATCCCCGGTACCATCCCCGGTACCATCCCCCGTACCATCCCTGGTACCATCCCCAGTACCATCACTGGAACCATCACTAGAACCATCCCCGGTACCATCCACGGTACCATCCCCAGTACCATCACTAGAACCATCCCCCGTACCATCCCCGGTACCATCCCCGGTACCATCCCCAGTACCATCACTGGAACCATCACTAGAACCATCCCCGGTACCATCCACGGTACCATCACCGGCACCATCCCGGTACCATCACTGGTACCATCCCCGGTACCATCACTGGTACCCATTATTGGCCTGCATTACTTTCCTCAGTTTACATGACATGCCGTGATATAACTGAAATACCGTTGAAGGCGGCACTTAATAGCCACTGGCGGCACTACGATCAAGCCCAGGAATTCCAGCCTCATTCGTCATTTAACTCTCTTTTCTCGTGAAGATGCGTTGAAGGCGGTACTTTTAAAAAACAAACTACTCACTCATGCTAGATCGACATGATATACTCACTGCCAAAAGAAAAACGCACCATAGAAACATATGGAGAAGTATGTACGTTAAGAAGTGATGTTTCCAATGTGTACCAATTACTGACAAAACGAACAATCAGTCACGTGTTACTACTGAGTGTCTTTATTGTTATCACGATATGCTGCACGTTATTTCCAAACTTTACACGCTGATCCCGCACGAGACAAATGGTGCATCTCGAGTCATGGGTCTATGACGTCACATGTGATGCATTCATGAGCGTCGGTTCCCACAGCATGCCGGTATGTTCGAACCAATCTAATATCTCTTGAATATGAGTAAGTCTTCATATATTAACCAACATGTATCGTATTCGCGTTTATTTTGGCAGTGAGTATAAATACACACATCGACACTATGGATATGTTCGACATTTATGTCTCTTAGATTTTTCATCGGTATATGTCTTCATAATTTTGTATACGCAACATGAGGAATGGATTGTCAATATTTCATTTAGACATTTTATTGCAGTTTTCGGTTCTTCTGGGCCCAATCGACCAAAGTGAGAATCACCTGCTGTGGTATATCGTCCCAGCATTTGTTCAAACCGACACTTTCAACAATGCTACCTGCTACATAGCAACACGATATATATGATAAATCACACACTTTACTGCACCATTTTATGTTATCCAATATGTGTCCATGTCATCCAATATGTGTCCATGTCATCCAATATTTATAATAGTAGTCCGAACTAGTACAAGCAGCCACACACAACACACATTCCCCATGCTGTCAGGTTCATATTGTTTGTCAACACACGGTGCAACCTTGAACTGTGACCATTGATTTGCCTCCGTGATGTGGCTAAAATAAATCTGACTTAAAGTCTGACTATGGCAGAAAAATGAATTAAGTTGACATCTGAGTTTCGTATGAGAAACGTGTCGTTGAATGCCTCGTCGCCACAGCCTCGGGTCCTCACGGTGAAAACCTGGCCTCAATTGCTTTCAATTGCTGAAGTCAGTCTGTGTATCCCGGGTCTTTTAGGGCCTGAATATTGCTACAAATGGCACCTAACACCCAATTCACTCATCCATTCTGACCAAGACACGGTCTCCTTGTCATACTAAGTATAACATTTCTGACTATGAAACCAAAGTGACAAAATCATCCCCCACAACTGCACACAAAATATGATCGCATTTTCGAAACTCAGCTTTCTTCAGCTCTATAAACCTTCACGTAGCCGTCCACCTGGGTGACAGCGAGAAGGTTTCTTCCCGAGATATACACCCCACAGGGTTTGGTCAGCGAGTCCTCCTCAGTCAGGATCTTCTTCACCAGAGCACCTTTCGGAGACACGAGATGAATTGAGTTACCGTCCCTGTCCACCAAGAGAGCATGATTGGCTACATCACATGCGACCCCTAGAGGGCATTCTAACGCCTCTTCTCCCTTGGGTTTGTAGGTGAACTTCGTAGATCCATCTTCTTGAAGAGCAAACATGAGACGTCTCCCGCTGTCAGACACCAGGAAATATCCTTTAGGTGACTGGGTTAGGTATAAAGGTCTTGATATAACGGCTTTCTCTGGTTTCTGGGAGTAGACGGTTTTAAGGAATGCGCCAGTTTGAGATATCAAATCTATCGTGTCGCAGTTATTAGTTCCAACCAGTAGAGAACCATCGTCAGTTCCTGTGATGTAGGCATACTGCTTCTTCGTCTTCACCTGAGCAAGGATTCTGAGAGTTCCAAATATTGAGAAGAACAACAGGAGCTTCTTGTTCATGACTGTGACGGCTATTTTGCTGTTAGAGATCACAGCAATCCTTGAGGGGACGTCAGGGATAGGCACTCTGGTTAGGACCTTCCCGTGGGCATTAAACTTCTTGAGACTTTTGTTATCTCGGTCTGTCAGGATAACATCACCTCCGCTCAAGATGACCACGTCTGTCAAGAGTGGTTCGGTGTAGTCTTCCCGAGAACCACCATGGAAACAAGCAATGAGGGACAGCTTCCCCTCCCATGGAGAATCCAGAGGTGACGGTAACCCATTAGGTACAGCCTCGCCTTCTGGGGATACCACGACCTCGCCCAGATTTAACGTCCTTTCAAGTTTTGTCACCGCTTTGTCGTTTCCTATGAACGAAAAATTGTTATCCTGGTCGGAATGACATAACTGGGTACATGCCAGCAAGTACTGATCCACTCGCTCTGACATGGCCTTCTCAATCTCCAGCAGTTCGCCATGACCGTTCATAGACATTGCACATTCAAACACATCAACTGACCTTTGAACACAGGACCTCAGTGTTTCCCCTTGGGTGATTTCAATCTTGACTTTACTACTCTCGTCTTCATAACGTTCCTCTATTTCGTTCAACGTTTCCTTTTCTTTTTCAAGAATGGCACTGACGAGCTGTTCCCTCAATGATTGCACGGATTCTACTGCCCGCTGCTTCTGTTCGTCTAGACGTGTCAGTCTCGCACGTCTTGGTTCCAGCTTTGTTTCTGTGTCCAAATACACCTTTGTAAGGAATTCATGGATGGTATTAAAGGTGAGCATGTTCATCTCAACAGCTTCTTGTAGTGAAATGACATCCTTGCATTTCTTGTGGAGGGTTGACACACATTTCTGACATATCAGCTTGTGGCACGAAGGACAGAAGTCTTCAGCGATGTTTTGCGGATGAGTGTGGCATGTGACCTGTGACTCGTCCAATCTGGACATGACACTCTCGGATCTGTCTGGAACCTCCTGCTCCTGATCCGAATTGGAATTCAGTTCTCCCGGATCCTCTCTCTTGTCATCATCAGAGTCATAGCTTTTTACGCTGTCATCATCGTTGACATTGGTCTCAGTACCTTGATTACATATTTCCAAATAGCCCTTTAGGAATTTGCATTCTCGCTCTGTCACTGGAGTAGGCAAGAGTTTGCTGGCGTCAAAGTTGCACATGGGACATGCTGTGGATCGTGCTAACCGTCTGTGTTGAGTCAGACAACAGTCGCAGAACACGTGTAGGCATGGCAACAGTTTCGGATCTTTCAGCTTTTCCTTGCAGATGAAGCATATTGATAAATCTTCTTCACTCACATCCGCCATGTTTAACACCTGAAACAACAGTATCGTATATGTAGACTAATTACATCCAGAATAAGATACGTTGTTAGAAGAGACTGTCCTTATAACGAATAATATATAGTTTGGAGGGTTGTTTCTGTCAGAAGCCTTATGAAAATGCATTGTGCACATGAAGTTACCCATAAACTGTATAGCGTGCATGAGATAAATATGACTTGATGCATATACAGTAAATATAATTTATTGCATGCAACATCATAAAAGTTTATAAATAATATGTATAGTTTCAATTCTGGAAACCCGTGTTGACCTGACACTCCCCGCGCTGTGACCATTCTCGGTATTTCGGTCTCGGTAGCAAACCTCAAAAGGAACAGTTGTTTAGTCATGTGAGTGTTTGTTTTCCGATCTACGTTTCATCAAGACGTTTGCGTTTACGACGAGTCCAAGAAAGGGAATGACATATTGTGGCGTATCTAGACAAGAGATCCTCTCCCATTGCCTCCTGTTGCATCTATCATTGGTCTTCATGCTGCACGTTGCTCGTCCCTTATGGCGCAGTGTCATTGTGTTGAGGTAAAACTAACAACAGTTACTGGTACAGGGAGAAGTGGGTAGCCTAGTGGATAAAGCGTTCGCTCGTCACGCTGAAGACCCGGGTTCGATTCCCCACATGGGCACAATGGGTGAAGCCCATCACTGGTGTCCCCCCGCCGTGATATTGCTGGAATATTGCTGAAAGCGGCGTAAAACTACACTCACTCACTCACTGGTACAGATTTAAAAACATTCAATCTTAAATATAATTGAAGCGTTTAGACAAAGCATATTTAAGATTTGACGCCAATGATTCAACTATAAACACAAGTTTTAGATTATTTTGTCGGCATAGAACACATTGCTATGGTAAACTACCAGTGGAAGAGAAAATTTGCTCGATGTGTTGCAATAATTGTATTAAATGATTAAGACCTTTATGGCTTAGTAAACTGTTCTATGTATTCAGACCTATGTTCTAACTTAGGTCGGCGACCGCCTCCGTGGTCTAGTGGTAGAGCGTCCGCTCGGAGAGCGGAAGGTCCGGGTTCGATCCCCGGCCGCGTCATACCAAAAGACGTTAAAAGATGGTACTTGTTGTTACCCTGTCTGGGCGCTCGGCATTAAGGGGCTAAAACAAGGACTAGTCGGCTCGGAGTCAGTATACTGTGTCTGAGTGGGGTATTCATGTTAAACTGCGGCATGGTATCTCAGTGAGCTAGCACTTTAAATCGGCATTAGTCCGGACTAGTACAAGCAGCCACACAAACACACACACGTACATGCACGTCGCTATATACGTGCAATAATCTTGGACGCGACGTTAAACCCCATTTCACCTCACCTCTAACTTAGGTCGTCAGCAATATAGTTTAATGACGAATGTCGTGTTTTATTAGATATCGAAAAGTTCTCTTTTGATAATGTCCCACATGGACAATATGGCTAAAAATGCCAAAAACCTTGAAGTTTATAAATTGTTATCTCGACGGCGAGCATTTTTATATTCTCAATGCCTATGCATGTAAATGTGTTATGCAATAATTATATATGCATAGTCCTCTCGTACATCGGCTGGGAACTCCTTGTGAACTAGTATCTGTGTCTGAAGTGTATGTACTGTTGTATATCAGGTGACACTTTAATACAATATCTGTCTGTCTGTGATGACGAAGGCAGTCACTGGTAGATGTCCTGGACTGGATTAGGTCCGGATTACAGAACGTCATGGTATCAACAAAGACCTCGATCAATACATATACCGGTTCAGACGACTGATTAGCTTAGTGTCAAGAACTTTGGTCTGTCTTGGAGATGGGTAAACACAAACAACAAACAAACAATGCAAACACTAGCACAGAGAGAGAGAGAGAGAGAGAGAGAGAGAGAGAGAGAGAGAGAGAGAGAGAGAGAGGAAGAGAGAGAGAGAGAGGGGAGAGAGAGAGAGAGAGAGGGGGAGAGAGAGAGGGGGGGAGAGAGGGGAGAGAGAGAGAGGGGGAGAGGGGGGAGAGAGAGAGGAGAGGGGGAGGGAGAGAGAGAGAGAGGGGGAGAGAGAGAGAGAGGAAGAGAGAGAGAGAGGGGGAGAGAGAGAGAGAGAGGGGGGAGAGAGAGAGAGAGAGAGAGAGAGAGGGGGAGAGAGAGAGAGAGGA